ATTGTAATAATAAAAATCTATTTTTGTAAAGATATGTTTCTTCTTTTTTTTTTTAAAACAAGACTTTTTCCAGAAGCAGAGAGCTTTATATGCTATCCAAGATCTGCCTTCTGTTGTGAACTATAAAAAGATCACTGCAAAATTAGCAGGCAGAGGAAATGGGACAGTTGCCTCAGATAAAATGTTGCATTTCTAGTATGCATCCTAGCTTATCTATCAATATATTAGAACTAGTCAAACACTATCAAAATACTGAGCAAGTTTCAAAATACACTTCAAGTTTCTTTATATGCTATCCAAGATCTGCCTTCTGTTGTGAACTATAAAAAGATCACTGCAAAATTAGCAGGCAGAGGAAATGGGACAGTTGCCTCAGATAAAATGTTGCATTTCTAGTATGCATCCTAGCTTATCTATCAATATATTAGAACTAGTCAAACACTATCAAAATACTGAGCAAGTTTCAAAATACACTTCAAGTTTCCAAATGTCAGCTTAGTTCTGTTCTTTTCTAGCTGCTCCTGAGGTCGTGACCATTATTTACTGCTGTGTCCAGCCAGAGGTCTGTCATGAGTTGTAATAGATAAAAGCTTGTGTCACTAAAATAAGTTACAGAACTTTGTGTTAGATCTTTCCTCTTAGACCCAGATATCACCAGCATCCCCTAGTCCGGCCAGAAGGAGCACTCATGGAACCAGAGTAACCTATCATTTCACATTACTAAGGGTATCGGTATTTGGGCATCTATGAAAAACATCATATTTAAGTGGAAGTAAAATATTACCATACCAATTTATAAAATGGATAAGGAAAGTCAAGTAGGTATTTTTACAGTAAATCACAGAGCAATTTGGTTTGGGGATAGAAAAATCACAGGACTATTTTCCAGGTTTTTTTTTTCTAAATATGAGGTATGCTTCTCAAAATTCAGAAGGGCGTTCCTTCTTTCTGCCCTACACTAGATTCCTCAACCTGACGTGCAAATTCAGTCAAACAATCCTGTAGAACAGACTCCTTTCCTGAAAATACAGTTGTTAATTCCATCCTAACTATAACTTCAAAGCAGAAAGCAACTGTTCCCTTCAATCTACTCTGTTTTTCAGCAGTGCCTATCTCAAATATTCAAGCTAAACACTTGATTTAAAAGACCAGGTCTATGCTATAAATCCTTCCTGATATAGTACTTCAAAGAATCACAATCCTAACTGACATTTTTATACCAACAGAAGGAGACTTTATATTTCATTTAGGAAGCTGGGAAAGTTACAGTGGAAGAAAGTCTTTTGCCGATACAAATTGCAGCTCTATTGCAGATTTTGCTAATACAGTGATATCAGCAAGTCCAGCTAGACTTGGCCTTATTAGAGGGAAAAGACAGGCATGCATAAAAAGGTATAGCATAGGTTATTTTATTCTAAATGAATAAGAGAGAACCTACAGTCAACCCATGCCAGAGTTATAGATGTAAAAACATCAGGATACACTTGAATCAGGTCTCAGAGGTATTTTAAATGCACTAGCTACCACAATTTAAAAACAAAGATAAAATTTTTCTGCCTTTGTTCACCCCACACGTGGTACCTAAAGTCATCTGCACAGTTCAGATGTAAGCTCCTGAACTCTCGCAAGCAAAACCGTACGTATATTCAAAGGCAAGACAGAGGCAGCTAGCACCTTGAACCTTCCTGTGGGAGCAAGTTTTACTACTAGAGTGAACACTTTACATAGGAGCACTCCAGCCATTAAAAGAATCTATCTTCATGCTCTACAGTGTAGGCAACATTCTTCTGATTAACATTTAGGAAGAAAACACGCCTTCTGTTTGCTAGTGGAAACTGCTTCAGTGTCTTTTCCTATTATACCACCATTAAAAACCTTCTGTGCTAGACAGGAAGAAGGATGGGCTGATCGAAAAGCAGTAGAAGTTCTAGATTCCTCCTCCTCATGCTGTTATTTTTAAATCGCCCTGGAAGCCACAGGCACTACAAAGACAAAGCCTTTCTTTTGCTCCTCCACAGGAAGTAATAGTTGAAGAAGTATGCAAATTCTCCAGGTAGCTAAGGCAATCCTGAGTAAATGAGCCTATTCCTTTGGATGTTGAAGGAACCTTAGCCTAAATCTTAATTGTGGAGAAGGGAAAAGAGGTATGGGAAATAGCTGCATGTATCAGCTTTACACATACTTAAAATACAAGATGGCTAAGAAAAGCTGTAGCTTACACCTACCTACAAAAGTCTGAGATGTTTTCACGTTTAGAGATGCTCCCCTCATCATAGAGGGAATTGGTGGGTGCTGGTCACAGACAGCAAGACTCAAGACCCTTTTCCAATGCTCTGCCTGAGCCAGTTCTTGAGAACTGAACAAAACCTGGAGCAGCTGGGATGAAGAGAGTGAGCACAGGCTGTGAAGAACAGCTCAGGGGTGTGAGTGGGGAGCTGGAAGACCTCATACTTTCTCAACTACCTGTCTTAGTCATGGTGGTAAAGCATTAAGTGTAACCCGTGTGTGGCTGGGACAGGTTTGAAGGAGTGTAACAGAATCCGGCAGGATACGCAGAAATAGCTGAAGGGAGGCCTGTGGGTGTAAGAGCTAGGTCTAGTCAGGAAAAAGCCACGAATGCCTCCACAGGAAGCTCCCGAGAGGCAGTCACAGCGCCTACAAACCTCCTTTGTAACAGCAGCTGGGCTAAGCACAAGACCGTGCTGGGGCGTGGAGGGGGCTTATGTTCTGCAAAATGAAGAGAGACAAAGCTGATCCCACCCAAGGCCCTGGAAGTGGGAATTTAACATATTCAGCTTGAACAATACCCACACACAGAGACAAATTCCTCTTCCTTCCCCACCCCCCCCTTCAAGTTCGTAGTATTATTAGCAGTTAGGCAGAGGACCCAAGATGCTGCTAGGATACAAGTCACCTTGGACACTGCCGATGTCTGGATGCAACTCTGCCCTGGCACAGCTTCTCTCTTGCAATAATCCCATGGCATCTGCTTCATTTGCTCCTGGAACTGAGACACGAAATAACAATGAAACACAGATATGTAAACACAGATACGACAGTTCCCATGAAAGTTGCGTGGAACATGTCACTCAGTATAACGAGAACACTTTTTCTATGCAGGGTTAAAAAAACAATTTTTTTCATTATTCTTTATGAAAGCAAAATATGAACCCTCATTTTCACAAAGGGCTAAAGGAATATATTTGGATCTCTGAGCAATCTTTTCTATTTGAAAATCTATGCTATTACAAATATTTTTGACCTATTTTAACAGCTAACATACCTTATATCACTATTTCAGATACCCGCAAATCCACAACAGAACTAGTAGAGGGGAAAAAAAGGAAATCTGTGAGTTGAGGAGAAAGGAAGAGGGTTTCTGAATACCTCTGCCCCCTGCCCAAATCAAACAAACCCTTTGTCCCATGAATGCTATGGGAGGGACAGTGGCATATTCGGATCCCCATTCTGGGTTACATGGATCCTAATACTTGACCTCCCAAGTTCCAGACCCAGCTAGCCAACCTGAAACCCAAGCAAGGAGCTTGCCACGGGTCTTAGATTAATACGAATCCAACACTGTGCAACATCAGAACTGGTGTGGTACCATAATACAGCTGGGTAGGGTCTGTGTCCTAGCATTTCTTTGTGAATATGTTTTTGCAGCCAGGAGATTGGAATCAACTTTCAATAAGCTTAAGACTCTTCTAAATTTCCAACATGCCCTGGCCCGTCTCTCCAAATTGCAGCTGGAAATCCAACCCTTCTCCCCAGGCTTAAACCCATCTACATACAAGCCTTGAAAGATCCAGTGCCAATATCCAGTTAGAAGTAGTTCTGTAACACTTGTTAGTAAATTCAAATACAGGGTCTTCCAGCAGATTTGGGAAAGCATGCATGAGTCGAGTCCTCCCTCTGAAATACAAATCACTGAGGGGAAGGGGAAAGAAATTGCACTTTTAGAATATACACAATTCATTTGCTACTTTGAGTATCATGAAGGAAGACATGCACTTGTATGCATCTATGTCTGTTTCTATCTCCTACAGAAATTGCTGGAAAAGGTTTTCCAACCAATTTCAAAACTCTGTAATAGACATATTTTTAAAAAAGCAACAACCCCTCCCATTAGAAACTAGCTGACAGGGCTACAAAAGGGTTTTTATCTACCAACACTGTCACTAACTACCAAAGAGATTTCTGCCTTTGCAGAAGTTGTATTTTTTTTCTTGTATAAGAAAAAGGTAATTTAAAACAATAATCATACAGGCTATGGTAGAACAGTTAAGAGACTAGAGGCTTCATTTTCCAAGATAGGTTGGCAGGCAATACTACTTTGATACATGCAAGGCTTGTGAATTTTATAGCAATACAGCATGGAATACTTAGGTGATCAAAAAGTCTTATGCATTTCAGGTGTGCCAAAAAGGAAGCTAACATTGACACCTAAGACTATTTCCTTCATTTTCTTCTATTTTTCCCCTCTCTCACATCACCAAGACAATGCGGTTCAATCGGACTGTGCTTTTAATTAAAATATACACTGCCTACCACTTATTTTCCATTCATATTCAACAGGACAATATTAAGGTTCTTTACAGATTAAGAAAGCTTGAAAACACTGTTTTGGCTCTCTTCCGCTCTTTTAAACAGGTTAGGGGCCATTTATCTTCTGCCAGTGCTCTTTTCTCCTCCCTCAGAGAATTACAACACCACCACGACCCATGAAGTTTCTCACTGTATAAAAACAAAATAGGCCACTTAAAATTCTCACTTTAAATAGAATATGTTGTTTAACAGTTCATTTTTTAAATTGTTTAAAAGAAAACATATTTTTTCCCCTAAGGAACTGTATAATTTGGGATAAACTTCATTAACTCTGCACAATATAGACAACTCTGAACAGGTGAAGCATTTGAAGCATTGGAAAATGGGGTAAAAGAAAAGCAGCAATAATTTCCCAGATTAACAGTACTTTTATTAATAACGTTTAAGAATGACAGTTTCAGTAAGTTCAATTTATTACGTGTCCACATAAATGTTCTTTTTTTTTTTTATACTCCAAAATACCCAACTTTTACAATTTCAAGTTTCAGTGCTTTGAGCTAAAAACCAGGAGCATATAATAGGGAATTCCTCCAACATATTCAATTCATAGATTTGCAACGTCAGAAGGAATACTAGGATTATCAAAGTTTGACCTCCTGTATAACATAGGTTTTGGGCTTCCCTGATTTAACTACTGTTTCAGTCCAGTAACCGGGGGATTTTCTTTAAGAAAAACACCAACGCTGCTGTTTCACAGAACACAACCAACAAAATTAGCAAGCAGCCATACTACTTCTTGAGTTTCTTTTGAGCAGCCTTCTTCTTGACCATTTGTAACCTCTTCATAGCATTGAGCTGAGATTCCTGAGAAGTCGGGCCTTTTAGGGAGGTTGACTGATTACCAGTATCTGCCGTGGTTTTGCTTGCACTGCCCCCGCTGTTACCCGCAGTCCCACTGTTGCCATTCCCACTGCTCACCTGGCTGCTGGTGCTCGGTGCAGTACTGCTGGGACTAGGAAGACCTACTTTGCTGACATTGTCGCTGCTTACCGAGCGGCTAAGAGTGGTTTTCCCCAGTGTCAGAGGTGGAGGAGGTTTCAGCTGAACAGGGTTTGTGCTGTTGTTGGCAGAAGCTATTTTTGACCCTAGTCCCGTTTTGGAAGTTGCCAACCCTGACAAACCCACAGGTTTCTGGTTGTTTGAAGAAGCTGCAGGTTTCCCACTGGCGCTCTGTGCTGTTGATCCTAGTTTGGCAGTTGATGGATTGGCAGAGGAGGTTTTGGCTGCAAAAGCAGCCCATCCTGTAAGGCCACTGGTTGCTGAAGAGGAAACACTTGTACTGGCTGAGTTCCCCGAAATGGCTGCTGAGGTCTAAAATAAATAAAGCATTCTCATTATAGCAGCATCTATTTGTGTAACACATCACAGCAGGAATAGATCAAGCCTCTGTTTCAGTTCTTTTCCAAGGAACACCCAGCGGACAATATTTCATCACTGGTCACTACAGTTGAAAGTATTAACAAGTAAAGGAAAGGATGCCAGGTGCAGCCAGCTTTTAAATTTCCCAGCCACATAAAACCAATATTACCTTTTCTTCCCTTTCGTCTATACAGCTAGCAGGCTATCATATGGCATTGTGATCCCCCCATAAACTCTAAAAGACAGTTTAACTGAAGTAACTACAAAAAGCCCAAATTTGTGAAGTATAAAAAAAGGGAGGCAAGCCACCACCTTTTATTGTTTACTGTCATTACTTGGTGTCACTTTTTAACAAGATGACAGATGCTCAGAGAAAAATCAGACACTGAGCAATTAAGTATTGCATTTATCACAGTCTTTTGGTCAAACAAGCAGTGTCTAAACTTTTATCTTTCCTTCCCTTCCCTCCTCTTGGTTCTTAGCAGCCTGTACCATAGATGCAATTTAATTTAAAAAAAAAAAAAAAAAAAAAAAAAAAAAAAGGTCACTGGACTTCTTTCCTGTAGTCTTCCCATTCAGGTACTGCAAAAGACAAACCTCCTGCAAACAAAGTTTTCCTTGCCTGCAAAGTGCTATACACATTAACTGCAGTTCCCACACCTTAAACACTATAATCCCCAGTCTTCAGATGGGGATAATACACACGTTGAATTATTAAACCAGAGTTATACCAAATGGCAGAGTCAAAACAGAAATTAAACCCCTCTATTCAAGTAATACCCCTTCTATAATATATCCAGACAGTTTCTAAACAGTAAAGATGACGGATGAAATCAGGCATCACTCTTGCAACCCGTTTAGGCACGTAAATAACTCTGCTGAGGTGAAAAAAGTTATTCACCAGTGTAAGTGGTTGAGCAATAGCCATCATATTGTTCATGATAGTTTGCATCCAGGCAGAGCAATGGCAAACATAACTTTGAGCACATGAATAATTGCTTTGATTCTGAGTTAAAGATGTGTTTTCCTAGGTGAGGGTCATGCTTTGTTAGACTACTATGTTATTTATTACACTGCTTCTGGTTTACCACCTTTGACCAACTTGTGACAATATTCATTAAATAACTTGGAGAAACAGAAACATGAGGCAACATATGCAAGAAGCAGCAGCCTCCTAAATTAGATCTCAGAGAGTCAGCTAGAGTTTCCCTATTATGATGAGGGGAAGCCTTCTAACTATCAAAATATGCATGTTACTTGACCACAGAGAACAAATCATATCTTTTATACAATTCATAGAATCATAGAATGCTTTGGGTTGGAAGGGACCTTAAAGATCATCTAGTTCCAATCCCCCCTCCCATGGGCAGGGACACCTTCCACTAAATCAGGTTGCTCAAAGCCTCATCCAACCTGGCCTTGAACACTTCCAGGGAGGGGGCATTCACAACTTCTCTGGGCAACCTGTTCCAGTGTCTCACCACCCTCACAGTAAAGAATTTCTTCCTAATATCTAGTAAGATCTACCCTGTTTCAGTTTAAAACTGTTACCCCTAGTCCTATCACTACACTCCCTGATAAAGAGTCCCTCCCCACCTTTCCTGTAGGCCCCCTTTAAGTACTGGAAGGCTGCTACAAGGTCTCTCCAGAGCTTTCTCTTCTCCAGGCTAAACAACCCCAACTCTCTCAGCCTGTCCTCATAGGGGCCCTCCTCTGGACCCGCTCCAACAGGTCCGTGTCTTTCTTACGCTGAGGGCCCCACAGCTGGACACAGTACTCCAGGTAGGGTCTCACCAGAGCAGAGTAGAGGGGAAGAATCACCTCCCTCAACCTGCTGGCCACGCTGCTTTTGAGGCAGCCCAGGATGCGGATTGGCTTTCTGGGCTGCTAGTGCACATTTATGAGGATTTCTGCTTGTATGAAATATCATTAAAAAAATCCATAAATTCCATTCTCTCCCTTGTAACATAAAAACACAGTCAAGAGCTGGATGCTTTAGGGACTTGAATTGAAGTTTTTTTCCCTACTCTTTTAGTGTTAATGCAAAACCACTATGCTATGGTACTACTCAGTACATATAGTATAGCAGACTATTTTCATTCATGGTTCTTGTGAGAAAAGATGGGTCCAATTGGAAAAATGATAACCTAAATGATAAACTCTTCCTCTGGAAAATTTAAACTACATTACCTTGACTTCTGTTCTCTTGAATGCTAGAAAAGTTGGTGGGGTCTCGGGTTTCAACTTAATTTCTGGCTTCTTGACCAATGGATCCTTCACAGCTGGTGCAACTAAAACCGCTGCAGGAGCTGGTTTTTGAGGTGGTTTTTGTGTCTTCTGAGCCTGTGTAAGTGGTAGGAAAAAAACCCCAAAATTAGTTATGGGGCCCATAACGTTGACTGTTTTGATTGTTAACAAAAAGCATGAGCATTATCGATTTCAATCTAGCCTTTACAATTTCAAGCTGAACAGTGCGTCAGAAATAAGGTAATAGGGGATGTGGAGGTAGTGCTGAGTATGATATTGGGGACAGAGTCCAGCCAAAAAGCATACTGAATAGGACTTGCTATTTCAGCATGGAAAGAGCGGCAGTGTTGACACTTAGGGAACAGGAAAGTACTGGGCCTTCACAGAAATAAGGCAAGGACAGGTGAACTTGAGGAAGACAGGGACATAATCCAGCAGTACTGGGATGCAGGCTGCAAGAGTCTGCTAAGAAGTGGCAAGTAAAATGGTAGAATTTATGCTGAAACAAAAAAAGGAAAGGGCATATTGAAGGCAAACGTTGAATGGCTGCAATGGCTATCCTGTGCAATAACTGACCTCAAGCAAACACTCCTCTGAGTTCAAAGGCCTGATGATCATCAGAATAATCATGTACTTCAGTCAGTGATCATAACTCCTAGACCAGGATCTTACATTGCCGCCTTTTCTTGTTTCTTATTAGAGCCATTTCAACAGATAACAATTTGCTAAGTTACCTTAGAACAGTTCCAAAACAGAACACATTTTCTGCTGTATAAAAGGGTTTGATTTTAAAATGTCAGAACTAAAGTTGTGTGAACAAATGGTTAATGTTTCATGCACCCAAAGATGCTTTCTTACTCTGATGTTTTTCTCATAATGAGGTGAGTGGAATTCCTGTGGGATCAGGAATAATGAGTCTGTTTAGTCAAGAAATTAACATGCAGATCAATCAAAATAAAGGGATTTTTTCCTGGAATGTGCTACCCTTAGCTTATTGTTGAGCCTGAGAACGCTCAGCACTTAAGATCTGGACCGAAATCTGCAGTCTTGTCTTACAGAAAAACATTCCCCGAAGCTGAGAAGAAAACTAAAACTGTAGGGCTCTTTGGTAGACATGTACTAAAAGCTGAGTATCACCTGAAATAAAAAGTTTTCAAGTGCTGCCTACCAAGTAGGAAATAATCCTATTTCACTCTTTTTCACTCAACTTCTGCTTTTTAAAAAGCTTTGTTTAAGCAGCGCATTACAGAATACTCTTTGAGATGCTACATTAAAAAACACAGCTGCAGCAAGGGAAGCACTGCTGAGAAAAATGGTTCTCCAACATGCTTCCAAAGATTTCTGCAACCCATAAAATACTCTCACGTATTAGAAATAGCCTGCTGTATTCAAATAGTGCTCATACAAAAACCTGACTCCTACCATTCTCTTCATCTGCCTGGTACAGCGGGCACAATACCACACAAGTCGAGGATCATTCACTTCCTTGTCTGTCACTTGAGGTTTATGGCAATCCTGGTGGTAGAGATTATGGCACTCCTGACACTCCACTAGCTGATTCCCAGAAATAACTGTCATTTGCCTGCAGAGCAAATAGTTAAGAACAGATTATGGGAGAAAGCACTTAAAGGATTATCCAATTGTTGCAAATTTTGCAAGGCTTAAGATAAAAACTAAAAATATTTTTGCCTTCATGTATATTTTCTACCTGTGGCAAATCAAACATATTCCTTTTCTTCCTGTATGAGTTCTTCCTAACAAATATTTTAGAAATTTTGTCTTTTTTAAAGGTAATTTCATTCAAGAAAATCTAAAACTTCTATACTATTAAACATGTGTGTATGACACTTTCGATTCCCCTGTTTGATTTTTATATTAGAAATGTAAGTCTCACCTGCTTTGCTTCGCCCGGGCATTTTATGGATACCTCACTGTATACCAATTATGACTTCCTCATTATATTACCATATGAAGGCCTAGTTTACATTTGGATAATTCTGCTGTAAGCTGTAGAGCGATACAGTTCAAGAACAAATAATTTCTCAATGACAAGCCTGTAAGAGTGCTTTCTGCTACTGGATTTAAAAGCGTCATCATCCAAGCTGTATACTACTTTAAAGGTGTTTTATTACTTATCCTTTTGGTCCCTACTATACAAACAGACACTTGGAATTCGAGATAATACCAGAATCATGGAAAGATGGAATAGAGAGGATTAACTGTGCAGTCCTGCCTTGAAGCAAACATGTAAGCTGGTGATGAGGACTTAATTTTGTGTGGGCCTCTGGTGAAAGTAATCACGCTGTATAAATGACAAATTAGTGATATACACATAACTGGGAGTACATCTGTGAATTAGCCAAATACCATTTCTTCCTTCAGATGACAAATCAGGCCACTTAATTGCTAAGCTGCTTTTGCTTATATCCCCGAGGAGCAGGTACCCAGGTAACCATGGAAACTCTATTTGTAGATGGGTGGGGAAAGGTAATACCTTATTTCTTTATATAACAGGAAAATGAAGTCTGAAGGATATGTCCATATGGATACTAGAACATTTTTGAAGAAGTATTTCTCTTTTAAATGGGCTACTTAAAAACAGAGGGAGAAACCTTTCTGAAATTCCAGGGCCCGTTATTTTATATGCGGGATATTTCAAAAAGCCATTTTGTTTGTTATTTCTAAATAAACTGGGTCAGAAGAAAGCAGCGATGGTTCAACCCCATGTCTCAAGGGAGAAGACTCACCCTATTTTAAAATTACAAAGAACAATCGCAGACTGATTAAAAAAACATGAACTCTTCATGCCCAGAAACAAGTTAAACAAGACTTGTTTTTAAATGGTATGATAACCGAGAAACAAACCAAATTATTTTTTACCTTCAGAAAACAAACAAACAAAAAAGTATTCATAAAAAGAAAGGTTGTTCTTTCAAAACCAGGCTTTTTTAAAGACATATTTTTTGGTTTTTTTGAGAGACAGAGTTCAGTATCATCAGCAAACCGCATGTAGTATTTCTTCTTCATATAACTGAGGAGCCATATAACTGGTGAGTCCTGTTTTTCTAACACCTGCAGGTATTGGAGAGGGTGAAGTTATTTTAACACCCCCTCTCTCCTTATGCCTAACTTGGTATCCAAGAACAAGAAGAAAACCACCACAGGCATCAACGTTCAATACTCCTAATCACTGTGAAAATACATTTGACACTTAGCAAGTCTTGAACAAACATTTAATGTCTCTACTTTAGTTTTTACATCTATAAAAAAAGGTATAGTTAATATTCAAATGCACTCTTTGGCATTTGTGAACCCACAGCTGTGTTCTTGTTGTTAACTTGTCTTCTTAAGCAATATAAACTCTTTGGCTATGAACCCCACCTACTCCGCAACTGGACATGGTGTTTTCATTCACAATTGATTGAATAATTGATTGAGTTATTAAAAGATGTCAGTTTCTAAATACTATTCATATTTGAGTTATTTTACAGAGTATCCAGTGCTTTTATATTTCATATGTACTGGGATGTTATTATTTTGGCTCAAGATGGACAACCCCAAAAAGGGCCCACATGTTGAAAGCTGAGCAGTAAAGAGTGGAATACTGTCCAACCAATGTGTTGGATTCAGAAAGCCTGAAGCACGAGTACTCTGAAAAACATCCCGCCTGGCGTGAGCTGGAGATCCGAGAACCACACGACATCAGTTCCAGTAGGTTTCACGTAAAATGAAAACAAATCCTGAGCATTGGGTAACTGTTGCCATCCCCTCTCTAATGGGTTGTTTCTTTCCCTGCTGTGCTTCTCCCTCCCTCTGGCATCAGCTTAATGAGAGCTATTTTAGATAGCCAGGATAGATGCATCTTTTGCAAGAGCACTATGAATTTGTGACCACAATTAGCTGGAAGCAATGCCTTCAGCAGCCAGGTTAAACATTGATTGTGGAACAGCTAATGGAACCACATACCTGGCCTATGCTTTTCAAAGCAAAGTCTTGGCCACGCTAGGCACAGTAGTTGCATTTTCTTTCTTTCTTTCTTTGCAGGCATTTCTCATTATGCTTGTACGTGTTTTCCTTTGCCAGGGAAGATGCAGAATTAATATTCCACAGTAGCTCAAGACTATCTAAACAAAACTTTTCTTTATCCCCTCCTGCCAAATAAATTAATACCATACTGGTTTTAGTAGCATTTTAACATACTGCTGAACAGGGCTTTGCCCCTTTAGGAGACAGCAAAAATGGAATTTGCAGGAAGAAAGGTAAAATTGAAATATTTATTTCATACTTCAAATGTTTTAACTGTTCTTCCTTTTTCAATGTCTATAATAAGAAATTAAACATTTGAGCTAACACATGGGAATAATGTGATATGAAATCTCATCAGTTCACAATTGGTTAACAGTATAATTAGCTGTAACAATGGAAATTTATCCTCCATGTACTGGAGACATCTCCTTATCTGCACAACAGGAACGATCATGGAAATGACTGAAGAACAAAGTTATAAAGCACAGTTTCCCAACTGGCTTAAGCTGAGCTAAAATATATGACAAAAGGCCAGTCCCACCTTCCTCTCTGTCCTGGCTCTACATTCCTGTATCCACACACATGCCAGCATAAGCAGTTACGCTTGCTAAGCTGCTTGAAACCTAAACCTACTGAAAAACCCAAGTGGAGAGCTGATCCAGAAGCTGATTCAGCTGATCACAAACCTGTGTGGGCAATACACTCCCTAAACAGGACAGAGAAGGAGGTACAATTGGGAGAGCCAAACTGTTCCTTTTGGCAGCAGTGGGGCCTTACAAGGACATAAATCATCTGTGAAACCAAATTCTGATTCGAGTGATTTGATCACAGGGTGGATATTCAAAAGTGTATTTTATACTTCTGTTAAGACTAAATGTATTGTTAGCAGAAGGTTACTAAGATCCAATTTTAGGGCCCTTACCTAAAAGTAAAAAGAACCTGTCTTGGCTGCAAGATATATTTACACTGTTAACTGAAAAAACATGGCTATCTGTAAACAAATGTCAAATGATTACGAAAAGAGGAGCAACACATATGGATCTCATAATAATGCCACTAAAAAATGTTTTCAGAAGAGAACTGATTTTTTAAAAATGCTTATTATTAGCCATTAATATTTTAATTTGTTTTCCAACAATTAAAAATCAGTATTTGTCGTGATAGGTTTTGTATCATGTCTAGTCTTACTATTTTTCACTTGCCCTTTCCTGAAGAAGAAAAGTTGGTTTTCTCATTAAAGGTTCCATTTTTGCGAAACCATTCTTATTCATGAAGGATGCTTAAATGCATTATTAATTTTGAATATGTGCTTAAGTGATTTCCAGAATAAAAACTACAGGAAGCATTAACTCAATAGTACACAATAAAAAAAAGGTAACTACACAATTGCAATGAAGCGATGTTGACTTACCTGCAAACAACACAGGCCAGTCCCATTTCCATAGCAAAGTCATCAGCACTGGTTTCCTCAAAGCTAGATAAGTCAGGCATGGATAAATCCTTGCTCGTCTGAACTGTAATAGGAGAGGAACGAGCCTCTTGCTTCTCTAGTCTGGGCTTCTTTGGTGTATCAGCTCCTTCAGGGGTATCCCCTTTTATCTATTACACACACACACAGAGAATGTGAAAATGCAAAAAGCTAATGGATATTATTAAAATGAGAAAATGACTGGAACAATTAGGTTAGCAGTATAAGATGATGTACTTTACACAGCATAAATACAACATATTTTCCTTAGGTACGTATTTTCTTCAAAATATTTATGAACTAGAAGCTCAAGTCCACTTTTTGTACTTCACCTCAAAACCCTTGAAAAAGCTTTGGAATCCCACATTTCAGCTTACTACATTTTAGTAGCCTTTTATTATCAGGATATTTAAAACATGAAATCACAGAATGGTTTGGGTTGGAAGGGACCTTTAAAGGTCATCTAGTCCAACACCCCTGCGATGACCAGGGAAAACATTAACAGAATAATTATAACAAGACTTTTGCTGGATCACCTAAACGGCAACATGATTGGATAATGCAGCTCACAGGCTATGCACAATTAGATGAGTTGACTTACACAGGTTAAAAAGGAGGGCTTTTGTCTAAAACATCTTCAAGTTTATTAACCAAGTTATTTCATTAGAAAACAAAAATTACTTACTTTATCAGCAGATCTCTTTTCTGTTTCTTTTTTCACCTTTTCTGATGCAGTGGGCTTGCCATTGTTGTTGCCAGAAGGCAAACTAGAAGAAGCTTTAGGCTCTTGCTTACTGGAAATAGGTTTGGTAACAGATACTTTTGGTTGCTCTACTTCCTGAAAACAGAAACAAAAATTGAAGGCAAACCCTACACTTGAGTTACTTCCTAGTTTGCAATTAGTTAGATAACAGGATAGGGAAACAACATGTCAAACCACATTGATCATCTATATATACACTTTTTTTTTTTAACATTTCTTAAATATTTTCATATCACATTGACAAATTAGTGTGTTTAAGCTGCAGTCAATTATTAAAACCTTTGTTTGGGTGAAGGGACCTTTAAAGGTCATCTAGTCCAACACCCCTGCGATGACCAGGGAAAACATTAACAGAATAATTATAACAAGACTTTTGCTGGATCACCTAAACGGCAACATGACTGGATAATGCAGCTCACAGGCTATGCACAATTAGATGAGTTGACTTACACAGGTTAAAAAGGAGGGCTTTTGTCTAAAACATCTTCAAGTTTATTAACCAAGTTATTTCATTAGAAAACAAAAATTACTTACTTTATCAGCAGATCTCTTTTCTGTTTCTTTTTTCACCTTTTCTGATGCAGTGGGCTTGCCATTGTTGTTGCCAGAAGGCAAACTAGAAGAAGCTTTAGGCTCTTGCTTACTGGAAATAGGTTTGGTAACAGATACTTTTGGTTGCTCTACTTCCTGAAAACAGAAACAAAAATTGAAGGCAAACCCTACACTTGAGTTACTTCCTAGTTTGCAATTAGTTAGATAACAGGATAGGGAAACAACATGTCAAAGCACATTGATCATCTATATATACACTTTTTTTTTTTAACATTTCTTAAATATTTTCATATCACATTGACAAATTAGTGTGTTTAAGCTGCAGTCAATTATTAAAACCTCCCCTTATCATTCACCTTCCAGAGGAAAAGGTGCTCCTTTTCCAAAGACAGATCTTCATTGCAACATTAATTAAAAAAGAAAACTTTTCTGCTTTTAAAATTCAAAGAGGTAATGAACACAAATTTTCAGATAGTTCTGAGGGCAAAATTCAATATAAGCTGAAAACATAAGTTGACATCTGATGTCACGAGACATCAATACTTCGTTCCCTCACAGAGAAAAATATTGACCTCCGCTTAATCTCAGTCCACATTCACCTATCAGATTAATAAATTTAGATCTCCACAGAAATCAATAGTTCTTACTAAAGATGCATTAGTGTCAGCAATAGATAATAAGCAAACGAATGTGTAAATGAGTGATTAATCACAGCAATGTGCGTGAGCAAGGAACACCCCCCCCCCGGCTTGGTAAGAAGGGAGTAATTCTCTGCTGTATACTGGGAGGGGTCCTGAGCCCTAAGCTTCAGCCCCCCCCAAGTCTGCTGACTTCCTGTTGCATCCAGAGTCAGAAATGGATTTCCTCATCTGCCCGACTGTGGTAATCCTGTGCTCCTTACTCTGTTCTTGGATTTCATGGTCAACCACAAATTAATCCTGCAGCCTGAGAATGCAAGGAAAGGAATTCTTGTACTCTTTTCCATTTCTGAGCTTTGCAGTCCAGCTGATACTGGAGACACACTGAAAAGAGGAGAACAAAAGATTTCTTCCTCTGTCCCGAGCCTCAGTCTCACCTGAGGGCAGGTGTCTACCAGCCAAGCTGTTATTAGAATTGGCTTCCCTAGCCTCTTCGCACTATTATTCGGCCCCCTGCTTCCTCTTTAAACCACAAACCAATGCTTCTTTGAGCTCTGACATAGAGGGCTCCTGAGAGTTTTGAGACCTGTGTTAAAGGGAACTGCAGTTTAGGTTTCAGGGAATTAACAATTTGAATAGAAAGGAGTTAGACCACACAGCACAAGCATGATGTATGCTGTAGCAGTAAGTGTCTTTTAGTTATTCGGAACCATGTACACGTAGAAATGAAATATTACTAATGTATCGGCACACAGGCCATCATTAGAAGAGACCAGGCTGACTTCTAGGCATCCTAGGGGAGAACACTACCTCGTTATCCATATGGCAATACGAGGACATCCCCACTTGGTTATTTCCATACACTAATCTCAGATTCAAATATTCTCTCTAGCAGGTGTTTAGTGATTTTCAGTAGATAAAAAATAATGTTTGTCCATTGGATGGCAATGGTTTCAGCCTGCAAATCATTTCTGCTTTGAACCATTTGGTGTTTTTCATTCTTATATGACTTCATCAACAGAATTTTAAGAAAAGAGATCCAGCTTTATCAGTAAATAGCTTGTTTTGTTTCATATTTATCTGTGGCAAAAATAATCTGCATTTTAAAGACCTTTTAGCTCTGATTGTTACCGGAGAAATACATAATTTTCTGTTCACCTTAGGTAGCGTGTATGATAGCTCACAAACAAAAATGACAAAACCGATATAAAAGCAAATACAAAAAGTACTATTACAAAGTCACGACACTTGCAATATAGTGTTGAATATCTCTTTTACAGGTCTAGGTACACCAACAAGAGATTTTTTTTTTCCATTAACTTCAATTAATCAAACAGATGATGTGGCATAGAAGGGGAATGATGAATATGAACATTCCATAATTACTTTTTCTTTTTCCTCAATCTCTGATTCTCTTTTAACTTTTCAGCTATAAAAGACGAACTAGGAATAGCAGGACCTTTAAAAAGGCATAAAAAAAATGACCCATGCTCTCTAATACCAATACCTTCTGAGATGGACGATAGCTTGAGTCAGTTCCTCTGGCCAAAGACTCATCAAGAAGCGCTTTCAGCTTTTCAGCAGAGTCCTTACTCTTTGAATGCAAGAAGCCCAGGGCTTTCAGAAAAATGGGATCAAGCTCCAAGTTCACTGTAGCAGCCATAGTGGTGTCTTTGGAGAAAGGAGAAAAAAAAAGAAAACCAATGACAACTTCATTCATATGGAGCATAACTCAAACAGCATGTGGCTAACTATCTCACAGAAGACTTTTTTAAAAATGAAATTATATTAAATCACAGCAAGGATGATATGTGAATTAATTATCATCATAAGAAGATGACTGATTGTGAACCTCAGAGCTGCAGAACTTGAATCTGGCCTTACATCTGAAATGATGTCAAATTCAACAACTTCATTCATATGGAGCATAACTCAAACAGCATGTGGCTAACTATCTCACAGAAGACTTTTTTAAAAATGAAATTATATTAAATCACAGCAAGGATGATATGTGAATTAATTATCATCATAAGAAGATGACTGATTGTGAACCTCAGAGCTGCAGAACTTGAATCTGGCCTTACATCTGAAATGATGTCAAATTCGTTCTTTGGCTATCTGATGTTCAGAAACTAAACTCATCATACTTACATAAATGGAACAAATATTCCACATTCTTGATATTCCATACATACAGAATATTGAAAAGTATGCAAAGTAAGTGTAAACTTGAAGAAAAGCAATTACTACCTTTCTCCTTAACATTATTTGTACATAAGTCATTTCTATCTCATTGCTAATTTAAGAATAATGAAGAAAAATCTCTTACTTGTAGAAAAATTAACTTTTGAAACTTCTGAAAAGAACATATAAGAGATATAAAACAGCCAGTATATGATTTTATATATATATTAAAAATCTGAAAAATGTATTGTCCATTTTTAGATTTAGCTGAAACAGTGAGAAAATTTATAACTCGGATCGTGAGTTATCCAAGTCCCCTTGAGATAGCCTAGGTTTTCATGTAAAGTAATGACTCTCCAGAGCTCTCACAGTGTCAATGTAAATGGAATAAAGTGAAAAGTGAGTTAGAACAAATTTAAAAAAAAAAAAGTTTGCTTCATAGCAATACATTCCTGCACTCTGGAGCCCTCTCTGTTAATTTCTTGAACAAAAGCTCTAAGGAACTGCATTTATATCAGAAATTGTCCCTACAAAGATAGATAGCTCTCTAACTTAACCAGTAATTAGCAATGAATAATTTAAGAAATAACATGGGAAAGGAAGTTTCCTGCTCTTTTCCAAAATAGATGAGAAGTGGTATTGTTAATAATCCCTTCAAATCTCATTTGAAAGACATCAGGACGTTTTATTTTTTTATACAGGAATCTAGAAGACATTCTTAAAAAGGCTTTCATCAGTTTTGCTCAAAAGCACTGCCTGGACAGCTTTTTCAGCTGGAGCTTCCGAGGTTTTGTCTGATGAATTCCTTTTGATATTCAAGGCAGTGAACTTTTACCTCTCTGGCCAAAACACCAGCAGTGGCAGCCTGCTCCCTCAACACTTGCCTAGAAGTCTCCAGGAACCTTTATCTCATGCTGAGCTTTCACGAGACACCAGAGAATCGCTCGACTGAGATCATCAAGGAGTTCGACATACAGTAGACTTCATAGGGATTTTATCAATGGACCCAGCAGAGTTAAGAATCCTCTTCAAGAGCCTCTTCTCTCTTCCTTAATCTTTGCTACTTGTCAAATCATTTTCTGGTGGCCACAGAACTTCTGCTAGTAAGTACTACACACCAGTTACTCTGCTTTTTCACTGATCAAGCAGAGAGACTGTGGTGCAAGCCCCATCCAGACAATTCAGTCTCTCTCTGACACTTACAAAAAGTGAATTAAATGCGTGTGAAAAGCACATACCCTCTTTTTTTATGCATCTACCTCTGATAAATTTTCAGGTTGCTCCCAAGTTCTGTGGGTAGGTTCTCTCTTCCATTTGTTTGTTCTGTGAATATGCCTTCCAAGTTTCAGTACCATATAATCTTAGACTAGGACTCTGCTAAACCCTCTGTTGAATGAAAACAGTAGAATTAAAACACCAATTTCAGAAATTTGGAATAATTTCCAGTTAAAAAAAATCCTTTAAGTTCTTTTTTGAGGCTTCTTCTAGGAATATATACTCGTGTACGTAAGGAACAGGTAGCCTCAACAGTCATTAGCAGCCAATTCAGAATGCCTGCAGTATTTAGAGAACAAGTGTAAGCATACTAATTCCATTTTCATCTTTCTGAAGGTAACACTTCCCAGATTTATTTCTGGCACTAGCATTTTAAAGACATCTATTGTAAAGGAACTGTTAAAATCCAAATTTCAAAAGGGTTCTCTGTATTTATTCTTTTATTTGCGTATGAAATTGCAGCAATTCTTTCTCTGTTCTCAAGGGTACTTTATAATGTCATAGGCTAATGCGGTTATAATTAACATATCACGAGAAATTTCTTACGAGAAGGGAGGGAATTGGGCTTATTAAACAGTTCAAGTATGCTCAATTTAGGCATACATTTTCAAATTAAAAAATCTATTTGTAAGTTAAAGAAAGTAAGCATATTTAACGGAAAGATGAACACATCAATAGCTGTCTTAAAAAACAGCATCATCTGAAAAAAGTCAATTGACAAATATGTTCTCCTTACTGGACCACAATAACACAACTGTCAAACAGGCTAATACCAACAACTGGCCTGGTCCAAAAGGCAAATTATTGCTTTTGGTAGTGGCCTTTTCCAGACGTTTACAGATCAGAACAGTGGTTTGATACTTATAAAGCTAAGATCCAATTACATTCATTCATGTTTTCATTCATAAACTGCTCCTCTGGTGGTGAAGTCAGCATATAGCAACTTGATAGTCTTGGAGGAAGAATAGTACAGTGTTTTAACGATGATGCCATAGGTTATTCTGCGCGAGAGCACTCCTTGACTTTCTTGTTGAAGTGGAATCTTTGTATAGAAAATAATTCAAATGTTGTTTAGGAAAAAGAAATAGGGGAAAAAAGTATGTATGACACTGTCTTTTGTGTAGCAGTTTGGTAACGCAGCTGTGAGATTAGAGGGCTGTGTTATAATCCTTGAACCCAGAGCAGAACTGGTTTTGCACAAAGCAGTAACTGAAGGGAACACGCAGGCAACTCGTGGAGCAGGGACAGGAACTCAAGCGGACCCTCTTGCAACTAAGCATTAACTCATTATCCCAGCCCTAAAAGCACTTTTCTCAACTTAGGTCTCTGACACTTCTTCACTATCATATAAGAACTCTTTGATGATGGATAGACAAAACCAAATATAAGGTAACAAAACTCTCTGAAGTATGTGAGATAATATAAAAAAATCCTACAATGCACAATCACGGAGTAACCTCCTAATGCAGACTACTCTAAGTGGTTTAATTCCCTGTGGGAAGAAAAAAAAATGTTAATTAGTGGGTTGTTATTCTTAAAACGTCTAAGAATTTTTTGAGTCTCTTTTCCTGAGCATACTATTATCTTCTACCAAATACACACAAGCTTAATTGAGCACTACACAGTATATGTGGTCTTCCAATTTAATAGACTTATTCGATTTCCAGGGTGTAAAAGACCCTTTCTTTTCATTTATTTGCCAGCTATTATTTTGCATGCCTACACATGTATTATCTTATTCATCACCACTTTCAGTTAAATGGATCTACTTACATTACATTTTCAGATACGGTCATATTTTCATCCATCTGTTTCTGAACTCCTATTTCTATTATTTTCTGAGACAGGTGTACAACTGAAGATATTTTTCCAAGAAAGTGCACACCTTCAATTTACAGTGCAATGCTATTATCAAACCCATTCTTTATAAACTCAGCAATACTTTTCTTTTTCACTGACACTGATGATTAAAAGGACTTTCACTCACATATCCTTTTCAGCTACCTTCAACATCTGTAGCAGTTAACTTAAAACCCAGTAACACGAATCAGTAGCACAAAATTCCTTCCGATGCACTGCACTGTGTTCATCAATAATTAGTTTCACTTACCACCATAATTGCATTTCTCCTGTCCCCCCCCCCGCCTTTGGATTCTTCTGCTCCTCAGGATTTTCTCTCTTCCTGACTAATGTAATAACTGTTGAAGTGGCAGATCTTGCTTATTTACCAATAATGCCTTTTCCAGATCACTTTCAGATTTAATGTAAGTCTTTATAAAGTAGATCAAGGAAAATCTTAAAAGCAGGAAAAACTGAACTTCTATTTTCAGTTTCTGTTTTAGTATCTTAATCAGGACTTGATTCATGACAACGTAATTTCTCAGTTATCTCCCATGAGGGATATTTCAAAACACACACACTTTAGTAGTCCGGACAACTGTATTAATCAAAACAATTGTATTAATCAGTTATTTATTTGACATCTTCTTTAAAGAATTTTGGAAGACTGGAGTAAAATCTTCTGCTATGGAGTTACTAGTACTGCTATCCTTCATTTTACATTCTATTCTACAGCATATTTTATACTGTACTTTCAAATTAATATTTCAATCAATATCACAGTAACCTGTTTATCCAAAATTTCTAAGATTATACTATTGCCCTGTATTTGCTGCTTTCTACTCCTCACAAGCAGTACATTATTTAAGAATCACAGAATCATTCGGTTTGGAAGGGACCCCAAGTGGTCACCCTGTGCAATCTCCTGCTCAAAGCAAAGTCAACACTGACTTCAAGACCGGCTTGCCCAGGACTGTCCAGTTGGATCTTGAAAACCTCCAAAGACAGGAATGCAACAAACCTGCTGGGCAACCTGTCCCAACGCCTAACTGTCCTCATTTCCTTATTTCAAATTGGAAGTTGCAACTTGTGCTGTCTCTCATTCCCCTGCAGTGCACCTGAGTAGAAAGACTGGCTCTGTCTTCTCAATAATCTCCTCTTATGTATAGAAAAGCTTCCATTAGGTCCCCTCAAGTCCACGGTAGATGACATCCAACACGCTCCCTTCATCTTCAGATCTAGTTATTTTGTCACAGAGGACAAGCCAGTTGGTCAGGCATGATTTATCCTTGGTAGGTCCCAAGCTGGCTATCCCCAGTCACCACCTACTCCTTTTTATGTCTACAAATGGCTTCCTCCATGATCTTTCCACAGGTGGAAGGAGTGAGGCTGACCAGCCTGTAGTTCTCTGGATTGTCCTTCTTGCCCTTTTTGATGATGAACCTAAGATTTGCCTTTCTCCAGTCTTCAGGGATCTCCCCCAATCACATGGCCTTTCAAAACTGCCAGAGAGTAGCTTTGTGAAGACACTGTCAGCTCTTAGCATCCTTGAATGCAGTCCACCTGGGTCCATGGACTTGTCAGGTAAACAATCCCTGCTTCAATCCCCTTCCAACTTGTAGTTCCTCCTCTCTTTGAACCCTGCCTTGTGGCAAAAGGCCTGGGAGACCTTAATGGTGAAGTCTGAGGCAAAGACACCAACTGTCTCATCCTTATCTGTGTCTGCTGTCACTAACACACTTGTCCCACTCAGCAGCAGCACTGTATTTTCCTTGTGAATCCTTTTCCTGATAAACGGCATCTTGTTACCGTTGACATCGCTTGCTAGTTTCAAATCTAGCTTAGCTTTAGCTTTCCTAACACCATCGCCACACACCTGGGCAATATTTCTATATTCCTCCCTTGTAGCCTGTGTCTCCACTTCCACCTTCTCCTGTATATGTCCTTTTTGCACTGGAGCTCTGTCATGAGTTCCCTGTTTAATCAAGCCCTTTTCCTGTTACATCTGCCTTACCTTTCTACAAACTGTTTTTGTTCTCATGCATAGTTGTGTTGCCACAAAAATCAGTTTTCTAAAAAGCATTTATTCAAGTAAATGAGATAATCATACCTACGCAATTGAGATTTGCCAATCCCTGCTACCGCCAAGATTCAATATTCTGCAAAAACGGACCTGAAGATGTTGTTTAAACAGATGTCACTGCCCATTGGTTTAAGTGACTGGTAAATTGATTATAACTCCATTATTGTTTTTACCTTTCCCTAATTCAATGCCTACTGAAATTTATCAGGTTTACAAATTCCCTAGATATCATCCTCCTGGTGATTTCTCAGTGGAAGAGCCAAACTTTAGTTAAAACTGAATTTCTGCATTAGTTACACCAAAGCCATGACCTTTGCAACATACTTGCTGCAAATTTCTCCCTAACGTTTCCTTTAAGAATGAAGGAAAGGCCTCCCATCTGAAAGCCACTCTTCAAAAATAAAATGCTTAAGAGAATAAAATACCACCATCTTTTAATCCCCAAATATCCCATACTATGGTTGAAATTCACATGCCCTGTATTCCGCATACATCACCTCTATTGGCTTGGTCTGTTCCTTCCTAATTGCTCTCCCCACCCGCGGGCCAGTGCCGCCTTCGTAACGGAGCCGCGCCCGGTGCCAATCCCTACCACGGAGGAGGAACTGAACCTCCCCGCTTCCGTACAGCGCTAACAACCGAGTCCGCTTACACCGAAGCCAAACGCCAGGACCCGGCGCCTCCCGTCCGAGAGCAGGCTGGGCAGCTCCACACGGCTCCGTGCCCCGAGGTGGAAACCACCCGCCGGACGCGCTGCCCTGAGGCAGAGCAGCGCGACTGGCTCTCACCCTGGCACAGCCCGAAACAAGGCTCCGGGAACCCTCCCGCACCCGTTACCGCCCCAGCCCCC